GCCAGTAAGAGTGACCCCATCAGAACCTGCATGTCTACTAGTGCTGGTTACAGCACTAGCAAGATGGTGGTCTTTTCCACAACAACCTGGATGAGAATGAAGCCATCTTGCACTGGAAGAAACCAAAGGATGGAGAGAAGCAAAGCTCTCACACCAGCACCTGGCACAGTGTAACTGAAGCCTTGAAGTAGTCCCACTGCATCTCTCTTCTCTCTTCTCCCTTCTCTCTTCTCCCTCTTCCCTCTTCCTTCTCCCACTGAAATCAGCTGTCATCACTTGTAACTGAAAGAGCCCGGACTCACACCTGAGGAAGGCCTCCCTGAGGGAGTGATATTTGAGCCGAAAGGGCAAGTTTAGGGCTACAGGAGTGAGGACAGCACTTGGGGGGGCGGGGATTGGCTGCCCCTTGATGTCTGAGTCTAAGCTCATCTCCAAACAACCACACAAATGCAAAGAACTCCCAAGTCCTTTGGGTATGGAATAAACCAAACAAACAGACTGTCCTCCCTGACTGTCAGCTTTACCGGGAGTTGAGCTAATGTATTATTGATGAGCCATAAATAATGGGGCAAGAGTGATTTCCAATTCAGTCCTGAAGTACACAGTAGAACACTGACATTTTAATGAGGTTTTTTATCGTCCAGGTTCATTGTTTACACTCTGGAAATGAGGGCTGGCTTTCTCAGGAAAGCAAGTTTTTCTTTACTTTTTAAATATTCCACCTCTATTTGTCAGTATCCTTTTGAATATTTATATGAAACATTACAGTTAAAGCAAGTCAAATGAAAGAGACCAAATAAAACCATACCTGAAAGACAGTGTTGCTAGTACTTCCAAGGCTGTGTCTTCACTGGATGGAGCAAAGAAAGGTCAAGCTCACCCCAAGCTTCCAGAGGACCTGCTGGCTCCCCACACTGGACCAAAGAAAAAAATGTTGGCATTCTGGAAGGCTGAAGAAGGAGGACCACAACCTTGAGCCCAGCCTGAGAACTTAGTAACTTAGCAAGACCCTGTCTATAAAAAGCCAAAAAACTTAAGAGGGCTGTGGATGTACCTCTGTGTAAAGTCCTAGCTTCAATCCCTAGTAACATACACAGACACAGAGGGGTACAGAGAAAAAATGTTGGCAGCACAAAACTGGGTTCAAATCCTGACTTAATTATAAATTAACTATGTGACACTGGGCAAGTTACCTGAGTCATCTAAGCCTCAATTTCTTCACCTGTGTAATGGGGAAAATAATGTTCATCATTTCTTTCTTTCTTTCTTTCTTTTTAAATTTTATTTGGAGGCAGGATCTTGATATATTTCTTAAAATAGTCTTCAATCAGCCAGATATTCCTCCTTCAGCCTCCCAAATATCTGAGATTATAGGTGTGCACCTCCTTATCCTGCTTGAGGTTGAAAATAATTTCAGTACATTTAAATTGTTTGTCCAGAGCCTTGTTCCTGCTCCCAGATGACAGCATTACATCACCACCAATGATTTTGCCTCTAAGCTTTCAAGTCTTCCAACTGAAGCCCCAGGCATCAGTGAGAAGAAACAAACCTTCATTGCTGGTCTCCTCTGAATTCCTATCCCTTCTCTGGGTTAGAATAAGAATAAATGAATGCAGTTGTTTCAAGTCAATAAGTGTGGAAGTAACTTGTTAAAGAACAATAAATAATAAATGCAACATAATTTTTAAATTCTGCAAGGCAAAAACCCTAACAGTATAATCAAGTAACGAGTTGGGGGAAAAATGCTACAGTTATCACAGAACAAAAGATGGTTGTCTTTAATATGTAAAGAACACCAACAATTCAATAAGAGAAAGGCCAGGAATCAAATGGACACACCAGTAAGACATACGTATTTACAGAAGAAAGAAATGTTTCCTAAACATGAAAACATCCTCAATACTACTATTGTGACACAATTTTTTACCCATCAGATCAGCAAAAATATAAAAATTTTATGCTTGTTGCTGATGCTATAAGAAAACAGATGGTCTTATACATGACACAGGTAGGAGTAGAAATAAATGCAATATCCATGGAGAGTAGTAATTTGACAATCATTAAGAATATTATAAATTCACAGGCTGTCTTGGTTACTTTTCTCTCCTTGCTGAGACAAAATACCCCATGCACAAAATTAAGGAAGGAGAGGTTTATTTAGCTCACAGTTTGTGGAGGTTTCAGTCCATAATCAGCGGGTTCCAAGGCAGGGTGGTATGGCTCAGGGGCAACAGTTCAAGGTGGAAGAAGACAGTAAAAGCAACAAGAGCAAAAGGGGAAGTGGGGAAGCAAGCCTTTTTTCCTCCCTTATGTTATAAGTAGGATACCACCTCACCCCCTGGGCAGGTGTAGCACTCACACAATTTCCATGCCCTCCTCTTGCACAGGATGAGGATGTTTACAAAGTAAGGAGGCTGGCTCTCTGCGGAGTGGCTTAATTAAACTTTTAAACTTCTTAAATTGACACAGTATATCAACCATTACACAGATCCTTTGACCACAGCACTTACACTTTGGTGACTTTTCCTACAGATGCACTCACATGTATATGAGAGGACACATGCACAATCTTGCAGAAATTATGTGCTCACTTGTATAAATAACAGCACTGTTTATAGCAGCAGAGGATCAGAAACCACCTAAATATCCAATAATTGAGACTGAAAAGATAAATTATTAAATACTATACAATCATAAAAGAATAACAAGGTACTTTATACACAGATGTGGAATGATCACACAGCCAGATTTTTAAGAGAAAAAGAAGAGTAAGCTATTTAGGCTCTAAACAAAGGATAAAGTTCTTACAAATACACTCATGCCTTCCATGACCCTAACAGACAACTATGAAGCATGATTTAACCCTAGGAAAGGAAATTTGATAGCTAAAAGACAGAGATGGAGAAGACTTAACTTCATGAAGTGTATAAATATATTGCCTGATTTCCAACAATATATATGATTTGAAATTATTTATGTATTTATTTATTTATCTAGAATCAAACCTGGGGCCTTGTGGATGCTAGGCAAGTGCTCTACCACTGAGCTACACCCAGCCCCTATGATTTAGATTTGGAAATCACTTGGTGTAATGAATTAAGACCTCAACTCTACAACTATTTTTGAGGTTCCATCATGCGCCATCAGTATGCAAGGTGAGGAGTGCACTCCTTGGTGTGGAAAGAAAGCCTTCCCCAGAATTCTCCCAAAAGCTTTCCCTTCATATCACTGTGGCCAAAACTGAACCATATACCCAGCCCTGATCAATCCTAGTAAAGAGCAGGAGGGGGTTAGAAATTGTATGACTGGCCTAGATTAATTAGGATCTACTGCTAGGGCTGGGGAGCTGGGCAGAAACCTGAGCAAAGTTGGGGTTCTGTACGAAAGAAAGCAGAAATAGGTAACCAACACAGTATGCACATTATGATATGGAATTCAGTTGACTGCCTATATAGAAATGTACATATTATGTACATACAATAGGAAGTGATTTTTCCTAAGAAAAAATTAAGTACAAATTTTAAAATGTTACCCCAAACCCATGAAAAGTTGGACAGAAACAAATATCTCATGATTTGAGCTGGGATGGAAAGATCTGAGACTATTGGAAACATGGTACTTATTCTTTTGAAATCTGTAATCTCGTTGGAGCAACAAAACTGAAAGGACCAAACCTATAAGACAAGCAAATGAAATTTTTCACTCCCTTGGCCAACAGTTACTGAGTAAGCACTATGAGCAAAGAACTGTGTTAAAAGTTATGCAAGACCCAAAGATTAGGTACACAGCCCCTCTACTAAGAATTCTGTGATGTAAAATTCATATACAAATAATTGTCACAGGTAGGTGCAGCATATAAGGAGATAAGCATTATAAAGAGATAAGGATGGTGGAACAAATGTTTTGAAAGCCCAGAGGAGGAACAGTCCGTCTGGCCTAGAAGAATCTTACCTAGCCTTGAAAGATCAAGATGTTTTTAATAGGTAATAATATTGAAGGGGAGGGAGGGATTGGAGAATAAAAAAAATGGAAAAAAAAATGAACATTCTCAGTTGGGAGAGAGAAACATCCAGCCTAACAAGTAACAATATAGAAAGCAGGTGAAAGCCATAAATAACATCAAGCAAGTATCAAGAAGGGAGACAAAAACAGCACCTAACAATAGGGAAACCTGAGCCGCCTGTGTAAGGAAAAATGTCCATGGATGAGCAGAGAGGAATGCACAAGACAGGTAATCAGAGGAGCGGGCTGGGTGCCATGTTTGTAAGCCCTGAATATCAGTATCAAGGACAGGAACACGTTGCAACAACAACAAAAAGAGATAGAGGGCCATTTATTGATTAAAAGAGAAAAGACATGTCGATCTATTCCAATGTGATTTTCCTGTATTTCAGTGCTGATTCAAACTGAAACACAGGAAGGGAGTTATGACATTTATGAGACAAGTGAGTACAATATATTTGGATATAAGAAATCATTGTAATTTTAAGGTTTTTTTTTTTTTAAAGAATATCTTTTGGAGGCACATTCTGATATATTTATAGGTGAAATGGTATCTCGGGTGGTTTTCAAAATAATACAGAGTGAGGGAAAGTCGGGATGAAACGAGACTGGCCATGATGTGATCAAGGCTGCCTCTAGGCGCGGAGCCTACTTGTACCCCTCTGCCTACCTGAAACAAACTGTACCAGAGCTTTGTTCAGCCTGCAAGTCTTTGGGAAAGGCCCCGCCCCATCTGGCCTCCGCTACCCCATACCGGGTCCCCCAAGTTGTCTATTAATGGTGTCCCAGCGCTCTCTCGGTTCCCTCCCAAAAATATCCATTAACCTGCATATTATAAGCTGCGTTCTCCATTCTTCCCCAGGCTCCATAGACTGCTTTGGGCCCCGGACGTTATCCAGGGCCTTTGGCCCTCGACCTGCGGTCGCCCGGCTTCCCCCACGTCCTTGGGGCGTTTGGTTGCGTCCAGCCGCCCACCCAAGAAGCGCGTCCTCGTCGTCATGGCGACGCTGGGCGCAAGTGCGGGTATGGACAGAATCCTGCCCGGGAACTTTCTCCAGTGTGAGCGGCCTCCGGGGTGGCCCAGAGGCAGCCCTGCTCCACTACCGAGCTGCTGAGGCAGTCGAAGCCCGGGCAAGTTCAGCCAAAAGTCAGCCTCGGCCGGGATCCGAGCAGAGATTGGGCCTAAAAGACTTAAAAAAGGTCTGGGGTGGTGTGTATGTCTCTCTGGAAGTGTGTAGCCAGGCTGACCCGGGCTTCCGGGTAGAGGAGAAGGCTAGGAGGCAAGGGAGGGGGTCGGGGTGGTAATCAAGACAAATTCAGTGGCGGCAGGCAAGCTGTTTGAACACTGTTTAGCTCTTCACCTGCCTGAGGGATTTTGAGGGACCAGAGGATGTAAGAGAGGCTGTGGGTAAACTTAACAACAGGCTTGGGATGCTAATGAGGGGTGCTAATGCGAAGGGATAGAGGGGAACTGACAGCAGAAACTGCTTTCTGAGAGTGATGTACCCATGCGTTTAGCTTGATGCTGTAGATTCTTGGGACTCTAAAACTATGGGCCTTCTTCAGGAAAAAACAAAGATTCACACGTAGATTTACATTCAATTTCCGGGGCTTCACTGAGGCAGCCTCCTGGGCCCAAAAAAGGCCCCAACTTAAGGGTCTTAGTTATGGAAGATATAAGGAAAGGTGGGATCTGCAAAGTGCAGTTACAAGGCAATCAATCATTAGTGTCAAGTGAGAAATAGACACAGTAATGGTTAAAGAATGCAAAAGGATTTTGGGACAGTGTGGATTTCACGAGAAAAGAGGAATTTCAAATGAGTGTGTTGAGGAAAGGCAAGTCTCACAGAAGGGTGCAACGACCTAGACTGAGAGCCACAGAGATCCCGAGAAGGTGCCCAGCTGTCTACAGCTGGCTGACCACTGACTTCACTAACTGATCATCCCAATAGCAGCTAGCACCAGGAAAGTGACTTACACATGCCAGTGCCCTGGGAACAGTTAATCCAAGCGTTGGAGGGATCCATAGTCACACACCTCTACTCAGTTCTCACATACTGATTCAGAGACATCTCAGAAAGAGGCGTCCTCTTTAACTGCTTACTTCAACATTTTCCAAATTTATTCCACTGTGAGAACCTTCGTGTGACCACAAAGCATCTCATGAGAACATTGTGGGGAAAGCTCTTGAGGACCATGGAAGGGTTTAGAGCAGTGGCACCATTCTGGGTTATGATGTGTGATGTAAGAAGATTAATGGGACACTCGAGTGTGGAAATGCGGTAGCCAACAGAGACAAAGAGGTGTGGAGGGCCTGAACCACAGTACAACATGCAGTGACAAGAGGTGCATTTGTCAGACAGAATTGAGGGGGGAAAGCACATAGGGATGATTACACTGCTGCTCTCTTCTCCCCAGGAAATGACCTTTGGCTCTAGAAGTTAGACTCATTTTTCTTGATAAAATGGCAACAGTGAAAACCCCCAGGCGAGAATTAAAGAATGTGGAAGAACACATCAACAAAAAAATGCCCCTCCTTTTGAAGAGCCTAGTGGAGGAGCCCAAGAAAAGAGCCGAAGTGCCTAATCACCTCCTCGAATCAAGTAGGTGGTTAGGGAACAGATGTGCTTCACAGCTCACATCTTTGGGGATCCAAAGTCCGGAAAGCCTAATGGAATTTTGGTGCCGATTGATCTATATGGGTTTATAGGTTCATAATAGGTTTTTTACTATTAAGAACAATAGTTCTGTTTACATCTAGCCTCTTGAGTGGTAGATTTTTCTGGTGTAAATTACTCACCAAGTTCTCTATCTTTCCTATCTACCTCCGCTGCCTGTTTCTCACCCTCACTGGTCACAGAACTATTAACAGTACTTCCTCCCTGGCCATACTCTCCTGTCCATTGCTTTCTAGAACCCTGCCTGACTCATCTCTCTCCTGCTTGAATATTCCCCTGCAGTTCACCTTGCACATAGAATAAAGTTGTATGATCTGAACTTGGCCATCCAGTGCCATTCCCAACTCATCCCCAGCTCCAGCACAACTTACCCTGCTGCTTCAGACCACCAGAATTTGACACCTTGCTGCCTTTTCCTACACTATTGTTGAGCCTCAGAACCCTGGAATATCCTATACAAGGAGTAATAAAAAAATACAATGAGTGTAAAGATACAATGAGTGTATTTAAATTGAAAACTGTATTACAGTAAAAGACATTGCCATTGATCACCCTCAAAATACTCCTCCTTACTTCAAACACACTTGTCCCATCATTCTTTCTTGAGTAGTTCTGTAAATCCCCTTTCTTGTCTTTATGAGGTGTAATAAAAAATCCAGTGAAAGCAGCTGCCAAGTGCCATCCAACAGAAAGGCAGGCTCACAAAAACGTTACAGTGTGTTCCCATCCACCGTATTCACCAGATCTGGCACTGTGCGACTCTGGCTCTTCCCCAAAGCCAAAATGACCACAAAAGGTAAACATTCGAATTAATTCAGGATACTGAGGCAGCCATGTACCTAAAGACATTCAAGAAAGAGGACTTTCAGAACTGCCTCAGAAAATGGTAACAATGATGGGATAAGTGTGTTCAAAATAAGGGTGAGTATTTTGAAGGAGATTAATGGCAATGTGTCTTTTACTGTAATAAATTTTAAAATTTAAATCCATTGTATTTTTTGTCACTTGGTAGTTATTATGGAAAAAGCTAGTCATGTTCCCTGTATTATTCTCATTTAATCCACCCAGAACAACTTCACAAAATTCATTCTTTTTCTGTTTTATTGTTGGGGAACCCGAGACTCAATGAGGTCCTATATTTTTCCTGAAGTAGCACACTTCAGCTGGTGTCCAGCCGGCAGAGCTCCATGTCCACTTCTTTGTCATCATGTATGATTGCCCTACCACCCTGCAAGACCAAGCTTAAATATTAAGGAGTGTAGTATTTGGTATGACTCTTTTGTCACTGTAGAATTGTCAAGTGCAAATTGGCATGCTTCATGTCTGGGTGTAAGCAGAAGAATGCTAATTTTACATTTACTTTGTGGCCCTAAAACAAAAATCCTTCAAAATTAAAAAAAGAAATACTGAATGATAATTATTTCAGCACTTAAAAATGACCAAATGATAAGCAGCGGAAATCACCAGCCTCCCTAAAATGCCATCATCACCCCATTCCAGCCCTTTGGTTTGTCCCAAAGCTGATAATGGTGACAAGGCGCTAAGCAGAAAATAGCACCAAACAGTTCCCACACTCTTCAGATTATCCCAGGACTGAGGAACAGAAGGGATGGGATGTGGGTGCCTGTCTGTGCCAAAGCCACAAGGTTATTGGTTATAAGAAATTAGACATCACAAGCATTCTGAGGGAGGCAAGTCAGCGGTTAGAAGCAGACAGATCTGGGCTTGGTTTTTGACTACCAGCTTTGGGCTCGTTTCTTAACCCTGTTACTCAGCTCTCTCCTCTGCACTGTGGAAATAATAGCTCATCGGGTTGGAGTGAGGATTATAAACAAGTGCACAAGAGCCCTGCCTGACACAAAACAGGGAAGGAATGGAAAGGGTCATGCAGTGGGGTCTTAGTGCCTTCTCCACATGCCTCTGCTTCTGTCTAAATAAAAAGCTCAAAAAAGGGTTCTAGATCTGGATACCTCTATGAGCTCAGCTGTTTAAGCCCTGTCTTTGAAACTTAAAAAAATTCATTCGCATTGCAACAAAGGCAGTTCAAGGCTTTCATGTCTACAGCAATACTCAGAGATTTAAGATTACTTTACAAATGCTGTCCAGAGGAAGTGAAATAATAAAAGTTAAGTGCACAGTAATACAATTAAACACTTGGTGTTTGGATTTTTTGAATTGCGTATCCATCACATAACAAGTAATATCAGTGTTAGAGCAAAGACAGGGCATGTGGTTTTTACAAGTAGATGTTTTATTAGAAAGATCTGTATAATATGTGAAGAGCAAATTACTTTAAGAGGTACATGAATTTGTGCTATAATGGGAACATCTCCCAAATGAAGCTAGAAAATGGAGACAAAGGAGCCAGGGCTATACGGCTCAGTGGTGTAAGGCCTACCTAGCAAGCATGAGGTTGTGAGTTCGAGTCCTGGTACCAAAAAAAAAAAAAGAGATGAAGGAGTCCATTTTATTTGGAAACATAATTAATCTCATTGACAGCTGTATTTAGTGTCTAAAACTTTCATGTGCTTAAAATGTCCTACATTAAAGAGATCCCAGATTAATAGGATCTTCTTTAATATTTCCTGTGATGTCTCAGTATGTACTTATCTACCTATTTCTCTATTTGTATAGAGATTTATACCAAACTTCTGAATAATAGGGCGATACAGGCAAGACCTGGCATAGTGCATTTTGGAGGCTATCAAATAGAAAAGCAGCACCAGCAGATTCTGGTAGGTACTTTTTAAAAGCTATAATCAGTTATAATAATGAAATTACATGAATGTTCTCTATTTACCTAAAGAGCAGCTTAATCTGAAGTGCTGGGCCAGAAAAGTAGTTCCATGATGATGAACTTTAAAGATGCATCAGTGTCCTCAAAAAAAATTACTTCCTCTCTGCCAAAGGCTCCTCCCAGCCCTCTTTTCAAATAGGGAAAGGGGTGTCTCTTTCCTGTGAATTCCCATCAGCATTCCATTTAAGCTTTGGGGTTAGATGCCTATGCCTAAATCAGTCATCTGGCTGGTGAGTATTTGTTGAGGTCTAGGGAGGGAGAAGTCAGCCCTACTGAACAGGCTGCAGAAGAGATAGATGGAAAGCTGGACACAGAATAGGCAGAACCCAGAGTGACTGAGATTTTACTATAAGCCCACAAGGAAAATTGGTCCTACTGGGTCCCCTTCATTGACCTGGACATTGACCAGAGTAGGCTCTGTGTGAGTTCAGGGTCTCCCCTGTACAAGCTATGTGAAAATGTACCAAAGCATTTAAATCAGCTCTCCCACCTCCATAACCTCACCAGACTTCATAAAGTCACACTGGACAGGATATCTTAAAACTCATCCATAGAGTAGGGCCTGAGATATGAACCCAGCTGGCTTCTGGCTGTGTTGGGCTCTCTTCCTATAGTCTTCTGAGACCCTGTGTTTGTACTGATGCTCTCCCTCTGGCCCTGTCCCTAACCACCACAAGACTACTTTTGTGCATTCTTAAAAGCCATGTCTTAAAGGGGATCATTTTAAAGCAGAGTTCCAGTTATGATGTTAGATCCCTCGGAGGGAGAAGTATCACTGGAGGAAACCGAAAAGTGCCAGAGCTGTCAGGAAATGAAGTTAGGTTTCTACCAGGCAGTCCCAGTGTCAGGAGAGGATACTGTTTCCATAAGTCCTTTCACACTTAAGTGAGTAGGGAGAGAATAGACTGGGAGAAGAACCTGTCAGAGACCAAATATTTCCACTTAGCAAGAGGACTTGGATTTAAAATTGTGCCTAGGAGCTTCACCCACCAGCCCCTAAGGACACGTTCTTAAGAGATGGCATCAAGACCAAAGTTAAGGGGGCTGGGGATTTAGCTCAGCGGCAAAAGCGCTTGCCTGGCAAAGCAAGGTCGTGAGTTCGGTTCCCGGTACCGGAGAAAAACTAAAAAAAAAAAAAAAAAAGACCAAAGTTTAAGGATTCATTTTGGAGCTTACTTCCTTATTGAGCTTTCCTGTCTAGGTTATGGTGGGATAGAGCTAAAATAAGTATCATTTGTACTTACTCACTATCTATAAACTAAATAGATGTGAAAAGCTAAACTAGGACCAGGCATAGTGGCACATGCCTGTAATCCCAGCACTTGGGAGACTGAGGCAGGAGGATCATTGCGAGTTCGAGGCCAGCCTGGGCTACAAAGTGAGCTTAAGGTCAGCTCAAAGTGAGACCCTGTCTCAGAAAGACAAAAAAAGAAAGCTAAACTAGGATTTTATTATTTGCTCCTTTTTATACTTTTTTTGACAGCTTCATTGAAATATAATTCACATAGCGTTAATTCACAAATTATAGTACTCATACAATTCAGTGATTTTTAAGAGGTTTACATATTTGTGCACCCATTAGCACATTGTAAGTTTAGAACATTTTATCACCCCAAAATGAAGCCTCACACCCATTTCCAGCCCCTCCCCCATCTGCACTCCCTCTCATCCCCCATTCCCTCACTCTACTCCAGCCCTGTCCTAGGCATGCACACATCTATTTCTTGAATTGATATTACCTACTCTGCGTGTTTCACATGAATGAAGTCATATAACATGTAGTCTTTTGTGTGGGCTTCTTTCAGTTAGCAGCATGTTTACCAGAGTCATTCAATTTGTAGCATGAATCAGTACTTTATTCCTTTCTAAGGCTGAATAATATTCCATTATATGGGTGAACCACATTTGTTTATCCATTCATCAGTTGATAGACACATGTTTTTTTCACTTTGGTGCTATTATAAATAATGCTGCTCTATGACCATTCAGGTACATGTTTTTGTGTGGGCATATTTTCAGTTCTCATGACTATACACCTCTGAGTGCAGTTGTTGGAATAAGTGGTATATAAATTTTCAGTAATTGCCATTACAAATTACCACATATTTAAGATATTAAAAATTAAATTTACTTAATTTTTTTTTAAAGTAGAAATTTAGGCCAGAGTCTAAAATGAAGAGTTTAACAAAGCTATGCTCCCTCCAAGTCATTTGGGGAGAATCCTCCAGGTTCAGGTTCTGGCTACTGTAGGTATCCTTGGCTTGTGGCTGCATCACTTCAGTTTCTGCCTCCATCTTCATATGTCCTTCCTCTTCATCTCCCTGCATTTTTTCTTCTACTTTGAAAAGGATAGTTATCATTGGATTTAGGGCCTAATCAGGTAATCTAGGATGAACCCATTTTAAGACTGTCAGTCTAACTTCTGTGAAGACCTTTTTTCCAATGAGGCCACACTCAAAGGTTTCAGGGATTAGAATATGACATATCTTTTCAAGACCACCATTGAACTCACTACAGTTTTATTTGCATTTATTTAATTGCTAATGATTCTGAGTACCTTTTCATGAGTTTACTGGCCATCTGTTACCTTCCTTAGAGAAATGCCTGTTCTAATCACTTATGCATTTTATATTTAAGTGATTTGTCTCTTTATCTTTGAGTTTTAAGAGTTCCTTATATAGTCTAGATACAAGTCTTTTGTCACATATATGACTAGCAACTATTTTATCCCATTCTCTGAGTTGTCTTTTAACTCTATAATGTCCTTTTTAGTATAAAAGATTTTAATTTTGATTAAGTCCAATTTGTCTGTTTTTTCTCTTGTTGCTTGTGCTTTTGATGTCACTCCTAAGGACCCACTGAAAATCTGAGATCATAAAGATTTTCTTGTAATTTTTTATACTTTTAGCTCTTAAATGTAAATGTGTGGTTCACTTTAATTTTTATGTATTGTATGAGTTGGGAGTTCAACTTCAAGCTTACTCACGTTCCAGTATTTTTGGAAAAGGCTATTCTTTCCCCATGGAGTGGCCTTGACACTCATTGAAATTACTTGACTGTAAATGTAAGAGTTTGTTTCTGGACTCTCGTTTCTACCCTCCTGATCTGTATGTCTCTCCCAGTGGCATTACAGCCCTTGGTTACTATAGCAATTTCATATGAATTTTAGGATCAGTTTGTGAGTTTCTTTAAAAAACCAACAGCTGGAATTTTTGTAAGAGTCATGTTGTATCTATCTGGTATTTTGCAATGCTTTTTTTAATGGTACTGGAGCCTGAACCTAGATCCTTGTACATGGTAGGCAAGTGCTCTACCATTTAGCTACTTCCACAGCCCCTGCCCCCTTTTTCATTTCAAGACAGGGTTCACTAAATTGCCTGGGCTGGCCTTGAACCTGTGATCCTTCTTCCTTAGCCTCCCAAGTAACTGGTGTGTGCCACCAGGTCCAGCTGAATATTAATAATGAGTCACAATTCTTTTTCTGATAGATGTTTTATAATTTTGTGACTAGCTTTAGGGTATTTTTCACTTGTATACATGCAGGGTAAGAGCGTTTACCTTCATGAAAATATTTTCTTTTGAATCATATGTGTCCTACTTGGCTTGCTAAGATTCTCCTAGTTTCAAAAAATATTAACATTCTTTGCAGGTTGTCAATTATTAAAGCTAATAATTAACTGGTAATATAAAAAGTAACCATGCCAAAATAAACAGCAGCTTTTTAAAACTGGCTCTTTTTTTGCTTAGTATAATGTCAATGATTCTAATAATGTTACTAAATTTAGGATTATTTTGCTCTCTTCATAATTTTAATCATATCAATTGCATGCTTTACTATTAATTTATCTAATTGATCAAATCTTATCTATTATTTACCAGCAATAAAGTTGTAGTATTTGGCATAAGTTATGTTTGTGATAGAGTGGACAGCTTTCTTCCATTCAGTTCCATGCCCAGTTAGTAAGAATATCCATCCATACCAAAGTGCTGAAGCATTATGGGAAATGCTAAGGTGAACAAAATCAAAGAGTTTTCCACATAGTAGAAGGTCAGATGAAGAAATTAAAAAATTCTCTGTAGGATAAGGCATCATCTCACCCATTTGAAATAGAATATGAAAGGCTTGTAGAGGAGAAGGCAAGTGGGACAACACAGAAGCAAAAGGGAGAATAGGGAGAAGACATTCCACACATCGAGAGAGACATCCCTGGAAGTTCAGGGTGAGCTGGTGTGTAGCATATTTGGACCCCACTGTGGAATTTGATTTACCTGGACTGTAAGATGTGTGGTGGGAAATAAGGATGGAGAAGCTGGGAGATGTGGGTTGGCATGAAAATCTCAACGTATAGAACATTATTATAATTCAGCTAGCACAGGAAGTTAATGGATTATTCTTGCATGCAGAAATGATGTACTTGAAAAAATGAGGCCAATTTCATGGAATTTTAGAGATGGATGTTGTTTCCAACCTTTTCTTTCATTACCATCCCTTAAAAAAATGTTAATGAGAGAAAAAATACTAAGAAATAAGATTTTGAAAGGCAGGATTGAGCTTTGGAAGGTCCCAAGCCATTGTAATATCTAAGATTGTTTTGTCCTCCCAAGAAGCAACTTTCATTCCCTCAGTGGGGGATGTCACTCCCACTGAGAATGCATGGAGAGCATGAGAATTTGATTTAATTATTGAAAAAGATCTGAAGCTTTAACTCTGCTTCACTCTGCTGGAGAACAGAAGAACATCTGTGATTTGTATTGCCTGTCCCTCAGCACCTACCACAATGCCTAACACACAGAAGGTGTTCAGTGAATGCTTATGAAGGAATAGTATTGAACACACTTTCTTGGAAGAGATTGACTTTGCAAAGGTTTACTAATCATACTGCTTCTGTCAGACATTAAAACAAACAGAAATAGATAAAAGTACAAAATTATTTCATCTTAATAACTTTCTGAGAGATACTGGAGTCAGCCTTCTGTTTCCACCAGCAAAGTTAAGCAGAAGCCTAAAGCAAGTACCTTGAGATTCTTGCCAAACAAGGAGGAAAATCCAACAACCCTGCTTTTATCTTGGTCTTCCTACAGGAAACTATGCAAATTGCCCAAGAGTGAAATGATTGAACGTGTGTTTAAAGCCACAATAAATTGTTCATTAACGCTTGGGATCGATCCAAGTCTGGCTAAAGGCACTAAAACATTTTACTTGCATTCATATTGAAATCACTGCTTCAGTGTACTTTAAAAATTGAAATAATGGTCTCAGTGTTCTCAAAATCAGGACCTCTTACATTACGTTTCCTCTTTGAGGAAAGATTTTTGCCTGGGAAATTATACTTATTAAGTAAACAGCCCATCCATTTTCCTGTTGGCAGCCACAAACAAAATTGTTAGCCTGTGAAACCTTATATTAAATAAAGGAATGGTTCCTCCTGGCTTTTTGAAATAATAATATTACTTTTCAATTCCCTATTAGAGCTTTTAAGAACCCCCAGGATCTTACTTTTCAAAAATAGGGCAATAAATCTTGATGGTTTCTCCTCAGATGTGGGGAAAGGAGAATGGAAGGCATGCATAGACACAGTACATCATTCTAGAACATCAGTTTTACTCTCACATTTTAGAGAAATGCAGTACAGAACAAAATTTTAGGGTAAAATGACCAATGCACATGTGAAGTTAAAACATTTTTAAGGTAAAACAGAATTTATAGGGCTGTTTGAATTTGGCCTCCATTCCCCGGAGTGAAACACTGATTTTCTCTGAGATGATGTGTCAGTGAGGGACGGTGCTAAAAGACCCCAGCTTGGATGCTGAAATACCTTTCATTTCTCATATACCATTCAGAATGCTACTCTGAAGGATATTTGGGCCTCTGGGTCCAGTTGCTCATATACCAAAGTGGAAACTCCAGAATAATATTACCAGTTAATCTATACATCCTCAGTCCCTTCTGCTAATAGAAACTCCTCTGGCTATTTTGGTGAATGTCACTGAAGCTCTGTAGGTGCTGCTTCTGGAGTGTAGATGCTGGATTAGGATCTTTCAGTGCTCACTATGGACTCGAGGGCTACATCCCTAGTTTCTTCTAAAGGGGACACACTAAAAGCAGTTTGTACGTCCTTGTCTGTTTCGCTGTCCTTGCTGGATGATTTAAGTAAGTGATGGATACAGCAGCCACTTCCACTCCCAGGTCTCCCTGGGAGGACACAGTAAGCCTTCAGGATGGAGGGAGCCTCTAAAGGACCATATATCCCACCTCAAGGCCTTCACCACTACCACACCCCATGACAAGTATGGGGGACAGAGGTCTTTCTCAAGCCCACCAGGTCCCAGGCACCCCCTCACCTCCAGGTGGGAACCACCACCCAAGGCCCAGCACAACTCTCCGCCCCATCTCTCATGGAAGGGCCGCTCTTGTGTGTTGGGTCCCTGGGAGTAAAATCTTCTCCAGGACTGTCCCTCTTTTATTTCTAGGCTTTTAGCATATTTAAAAATGAAAAAAAAAATACATAATAAAACAAAGTCAAAACCGTGGTACTTCAAGAATGTTCCCATGCAACAAATAAGAACTTTTAACATGTGCAAATACCACTGTGGTCTTCTTAGGTGCTAAGGAGTAAAGTCTAGTTTAGGACTTCAATGAACACAAGGCCTCAGGCAATGAATCTCCCAGAGCCCCAGTGACAAGCTGAGCCTCTGGCCTGGACTGTGGAAACCAAAGGCCTCTCAACCCCGTGTGACCCAGGCAAAGCCTAGATCCATAAAGCTCAAAGATCCTGCTTCTCTCTCAAGCAGAGGGAAACCCCCTTTCCTCAGAGAAAATTCTGCCTCTGGGGATGGTCTTCTACTGCCATCCAAACAGCCCTTGCCATGTGCCCAGGATGGGTGGGGGAGCTGCCGCAGCCACAGTTTTCTCCTGATCTTCTGAGGGTATGAGTTCCTCTGGCCCCAAGCCGGTGGCCTGGATTTAGAGAGCCTGTGGCAGTTAGTGGCTGGCTTCTCAGCTCCAGGAACTCTCAGGACAAGACTGAGTTCAACAGAAAGTGCACGCAGTAAGCCTTGAGGATTGAGGGGGCCTCTGAAGGACCATATATCCTCTGGGCTGTAGGGGTTACAGGCTGTGTTATCATTCTTAAGGGTGGCATAGGCACATGGGCATATTTGGTTATTCTTTAAATGGTATATGGTAAACTTTAAATCTTTTAAAAAGTTAAAAGAAATATGTCTCCTCATATCCGCTTAGGAACAAGATAGGTATAAATGCATGAGGAGATGATATACAAGTAAACCAGTGTCTTGACTCTAAACTCATCTTTCTCTTGCCCAGCACCTGGTCAACATTTCCGACGAAGACACGCACGTTCATATTTTACCCCCACAAACCAAATACTTTCAGATCAGCTACTTGAAAAAGGTAAGTGGCCTTGGGCCACCTCCCCTGCCCATGGTATGCTTCGCTGGGTTGTAGTTTTCTAGGTCTCAGGCCTGTTGCGGGGGCAGGAGTGTGTGATCTGTGAAGTCTGGGGCTTGTCCCAACAAGAACCTACTTGCTTTCCAGGAAAACCGCCTCATCCCTGGCTTGTCCCTTGCAATCACCATTACATTTTCTCCAGATGAGTGGCGATACTACTATGACTGCATCCGCATTCACTGTAAGGTAAGTTTCCGCAAACTGTTTTTTGCTGGGGTTGGCCAGCACTCAGTGAAGGAAGAGAGAGATGGACTGGCACGACAGAGCTTCCTCAGCCTGGCACAGGTGCTCCTTAGGCTCCAGTCCAAATGACATGGAAGGGCACTGTGGAGTGACACGACTACCCATCAGATGGTACTGGGCTGCCAGCAACCTGGGTTGGGACAGTGTTGAGCTGCCGAGAACCTGGGAAACTCAGGACAGCCTGTGCTGCAGGTATTCCCGGGCCCTGTGCCAAACCTCCCTGTGCGGCGATGTGCTCCCTTAGGGGCTAGATTGAAAAGCGAGCGACCACCAAGTCAATTATAGACTCTGGCTACTGTCCTGAGTCTTAAAGGCAGTGTTCACAGAGGCAGCCCTGCGGGTCTTGTGACCTCACCTAGGGCACTGTGCGGTTGGGATTCTTCTTAGCCTGTTCTAGGTCCTCCGTGTCACATTTTGACCTCCACAAACAGCTATGCTTATTTTCAGTTCTTCTCTTACAATGGCCATCTGCACCCCCTTCCTCTCTCTCTGCTGCAGACCCAGTTTTGAAACTCAAGAAAACTCAAAGTTAGCTCTGTTCTTAGGGTTTCAAGCCTGAAATGGAAGAGCGGGATGTACTAACTAATGAGAATATTGTTTTCAGAATGGATATTCTCTACCCAGCAGAAGAAAAATTTCCAGACTAAGTATTATGTAGAGGGCCTTTTATAATAATGTACATTTCCTGCCACATACAGCAGTGCTCATAGCAATAGCCCATATGTAGGTAGCTCTACTGACTGTTTAAGATCGTCATCTGCTTTCATTCTTAAAAATACCTTTGAGGAAGGATTTGATTGTCCCTATTTTGCAAAGGAAGAAATGGTTAAAGTCTTGCTTTAAGTAATGCATTTTGCAGGGCTAGAACCAGGTCTCTGTGTCTCAGCACTTGTTGAAACAGAAGCAAATAGAATGGTCATCGTGTCTACATGAGGGCATCATTTTCCTCAGCTTCTTGGATGGTAGTGAACATCATTTCAGTGAAATATACTTCAAATCTTCTACACTTGATGTCTAAGGAAACTTGATATTTCTGATGTACTTAAGTACTACAGTTTAAGGGAAAATTTTAATGATAGAAAATGAGATATGAAACTAAACATCTATAAGTTTGTCTTTAAAAATTGTATTTTTCAAAATGTTTAACTTCCCCATTTCTCATCAATTTTAGGGAGATGACACCTTGCTTGTTCCTATCCATGCCTATCCTGTCACAAACACCCTGGACTTTCCCACGTTCATAAATCTATCAAATGTTCTCCTTGGTGAGAGGTGAGTTACCAAAATGAACTGGCAAGATATCATACAATGCGAAAGATAAGAGATACACAAATAAAAACGTGGATTTCTTTTTCTAGTGGAGGCTCTCCTTCCACCTGAATTAGACTGGACTTAATAATTGAAAAGGCAAAATAAAATACAAAAAACAAGTCAACTATTGTAAGAAAGAAAGGGAACGCATGGGGTCATTTAACTGAAGGGTGTAGGTTGGATCTTCAGGCATGGCTGAATGTAGTATTTAAATTAGATTACAGCACCTGACTCTTCTGTGTCCTGATTCTGCTATCCTGTGCTTCCTTCTTGACAGATTCCCCCTCTTGGAGGCTAGACAGCTCCCAAAACTAGCCTGGAAACAGGGGTGATAGGAGGGGCTGAAGGGGTTGGGAGGATTAAAGCAAAAAATCAGGGTTGAGTCTTATTAGACCAGCTTAGCCACATGCCCATACTTACCAATCTGCTTTTACATGAAGGGAAGGCAAAGGCAACGCAAGTTTACAGTTTACGGTTACAAGTTTACAGTAGAAGCCAAGTCTCAGCTTTTCTCTCTCCCTTTCTTCTTTTTGGGTAAATGGTTAATAATTCCAGTTATAATTAATGTATGTCTCATTTTTCAGTAACTACTTAACCAAACATCTTCTACCAGGCACAGTACTATCTATCTCTGGGGATATAAAAATAGGTTTTGAGCCACTGAATATTGATATATAATAGTCATGCTAGTTATGAAAATATTGAAATATTTCTGTACTTGGAAAATACATATGATCGTGAGTCTCTCATCTTTGCACAGGAGCTGCCTGGCCCTTCACCGGCTCCCCTCTCTTCCCCCTGGTTCAGCAACAAAGAGTTAATATCTAGCTGTTTAGGGTGGGGGACACATCTGCAGGACCTGGCTGCAGACTTAGATCCACTCTGACAGCCTGATACTCTGAGTATTTCCCATGCTGAAAAGACAGCTAGACAGAGACTCTGGTTCTGAAGGTCTCTACATCTGATGGAACTAGGATCATGTCTTCAGTTAGCCCCATCAGTTGCTAAGCAGTATGCTAGAGGCACACGTAGGGAGCCCTGTGGGCCAGAAGAGGAAGACACTCAGTTCTGACTGGGGAGTTTGAGAAAGTCCTCACTGGTGTGAGATGACATCTGGGTCATGTGGGGTAAGAGTATGGGACTCTAGGTAGGATAGAGCATCTCCCAAGCCATTGTGTCAGCGGAGGGCGCAGACCATGACTCGTAGGTGTTGAAAGGTCACCGAAATATTTTTATTCACCCAGTAGCTGGCAAACGCTAGATGCCCCCTGATACAGGTCCAGATGGTAAGCAAAGTCTATGAGCTCCAGCAGGCTTATGGGAACAAGGGCAGGGCAAGGGGGCTACAGGAAGCATGGAGCCAGGATACAAGGCACTGAGGGCTGGTTGCATCTGGTTAGAATGAGGAGCAGCAGAACCCTTTTGGTGGTGGTAGAAGATTATGAACAATGAATGTGAGCTCCGGGGTTCTTCTTCCTTTTAAATTTTATTTATTTCTGTATTTATGTATGTATGTATGTAAGTATGTATGTATTTGCACTACCTGTTGTCTGTGAATAAATTTAGAAATTTAGATCTGGAACAAATTTTTTGGTTCAGATGATGTGTGATTCTCTTCCAGTACCTTTGTATCTGCCCAGTGAATCTCTGACTCAGCATCTCTGTTTACTTTAAAGAAAAACTCCTTAAAAATTGTAAAGGGAGTGATACATCCAAAAGAGTATGTGATAATTTATGCTTTAAACGATAATAATAATGAATATGACTATAAGGTATAAAACATGGTGATAGCTTTCCAATCACTGTTCTGAATCTTGTGATAATTTACTTTACTAGTTGTAGCACATGTACCTCCAAATAACAACATATCTTTGTCTTTGCCAGTTTTTGATCTTCGATAAGCGAAACTGTAAGTTCTTTAGCAACTTTCTTTTTTCATTGAACATTGTTTTTGTGGTTCAGCCATGTAAATGTATACAGCTATTGTCCACTCTATGTAGCATCCAGTGTATGACTTTGCCACAATTTTTATCAGCTCTGTTTCTGATGGGCTATAGGTTGTTTCCAGTATTTTTTTTTTTTTGATGTGGTGGGTGTTGCTCTTGTATATCTTTGTTTGTGATTCCTGGGGCACAAGTTCTGGAGTTTCTCCAGGACATACACTCAGAACTGGAATTGCAGGTCACAGCCTAGCTTCGTTGTTACTGTGAAATGCCAAACTGGCTCCCCAAATGGCCGTGTGCCTTCATACACCTATCTGCAGTGGGTGAGAACTGCCAACATTGGGTATTAGCAGCCTGTCACACTGTTTTAGTAATTTATGTGTTCTTGGCCCTGTGCTCTTCCATTCTCTATTCATTCTCTACCCCAGTACTTCCTCCCCTCCACCCCAACCCTTCCTGCCTTCATCATCTCCTTCTCAGGTCAGGTGGCCTTTACAAGGGCCCCAAGAATCTAAAAAAAATGAACCCTTCCTTGTGATACCTGCTGACTCTATATATTGTAAGACAAATAAGTTGTTGCCCTAGATTGGACACATATAACAATTTTTATCAAAATCAAAGCAGCAGGAAGCAACTAACTTTCTAGTTCATTAATTCTTCTTTTTCCTTTTCTTTTCCACAAATTACTTGTTGTTGGGGTCGTAAACCAGACTTATGAGTGGAGAAAAATGGCTTTTTGAGCTGGTGAGAATAATATGCATTACAACACAGACGTAGTCAGTCTTGGGTTCTAAAACAAAAATCTGCCCGTCTCTACAGGGCCCTTCCCCAAACTCTTTTGTACATAATACCCTTTATTTGTAACTAGAATGAGAAATTCATCCAAGTAGTTCACATAACTGAGTTATTGTTTATAATGGTGTAATATTTTTAAAAAAATATTTCAAAATGTAGGCATATTACTTTTTTCCTCCAGATACTTTGGTGGCAGGCAGGAGCTTACCAAGACTTTATACCCCTCCCCTTTTTTTTTGTCTTTTTGAGATAGGGTCTCACTATGCAGTTCAGGCTGGCCTTGAGCTCACTTTGTAGCCCACTTTGGTCTCAAACTTGCAACGCTCCTCCTGCCTCAGCCTCCTAAGTGTTAGGATTACAAGCATTCACCATTACGCCCAGCATTATACCCTTTATATAAGGGCTTTTTAACCACTTTTAACTACTCAAACCCTTCTATGCTACTTTTGATCTAAAATGTGTGAGAGCAGGACAAGAGTGAGGCCCTTCGCCTAAAATGCTGCCCATTAATTCTAGGCTACCTTTAAGGTTGAAGGTATCCTCTGAGTAGGTTTTAATTCAGCATTAATTCCATTCATTCATTTATTGAATGACTGGAATGTTCTAGGCACAATGTTAGGTACTGTCTTAGTTCATTTTCTGTTGCTATGACAGAATATCTGAGAATGAGTCAGTTACAAAGAAGAGAAGTTTATTTGGCTCAAGTTCTGGAGGATGAGAAGTCCAAGAGCATGATGCTGACATCTGCCCACCTCCTGCTAAGAGTCATATGGCTGATGGACAAGCAGGTGCGTGTGGAAAACAGAACATTAGGAGGCCCTCTCTTGTGTCAACCCATTCCCACAAGAACTGGTCCAGCCCTGCAAGAGGGAAAACTCATTGCCACCATGAAGATGAACCAGTCCCACACGAAAGACCTGTCTGTCTCTGTTTGTCTATCTGTCTCCTGGTCCCCCATACAAGGCCTTCCCACTGAGCTGCATCCCTGACCTTTTTTATTTAATTTAATTAATTTATTAATTTACTTATTTTCAGACAGGGTATCATTAAGTAGCACAAAACAGACTAAGATATTTATGCTGTACTTTTTAATAAGAAGTTCTATTGAGATCTAATTCACATATTGAATGTACTGATTTAAAATGTACAATTCCTTGGGTTTTAGTGTATGCAAGGTTCACAACAATGTGATAAACTTTGGAACATTTTTATAGCTCCCAAAAGAGATCTTGTACCCATCTCCTATCCCAACCCTCAGACTTCCCAGTTATAATCAAACTCTGATTAATTTTCTGTCTCTATGAGGTGGCCTATTCCAGACATTTAATAAAAATGAATTGATTTCTTCCAGTTAGCATGTTTTCAAGGGTCCTCCAACTTGTGATTCACCTAGCTTGTGTCAGTACTTCATTTCTTTCTATTTCTGAGTAAGATTTCATTTTATTGACATACCACATTTTATTTATGCATATATCAGTAGACAGATATTTGGGATCTTTTCACTTAGAGGCTATTATTGTGGATACTACTGTGAATATTTTATGTATGTTTTTATATGGGTGTATGTTTTTATTTCTATTGGCTATATACCAAGAAATGGAATTGTTAGACCATATGATAAGCCTGTATTTAACACCTGAAGTACTACCAGACTGTTTTCCAAAGTGGCTATACCATTCATATTTCCACCAGCAATATATGAGGGTTCCAGTTTTGCATATTCTCTTAACTGTCTAAATAAAGCAATCATTTCCATGGCTAAAAGAAGAAACAATGCATATTATGCAGAAATATATACCTGATAGAAGAACACAAATTCAGCAAAAGGTGAATTCAGAAAGATGTGTTTTCATGTTTATATAGATTTGATTTGGATAAAATTTGTGGAGGGTTTGCTGTTGTTTTATCTTATTTTATTTTATTTTATCTCTTTTTTTGAGGCAGAGTCTCACTGTGCTTCCCAGGATGGTTTCCATCTTACTGCATCAGCCTCCTAAGTAGCTGGGACTAGAGATGTGCCCCATTATACCCAGCAGAGTTTGCATTTAATATCACTAATTCTGCTTTTATACTTTGGGTTGCTTCTGCAGTTCCAGAGCCTCTGTGAGGACTGGATGGTACCTAGGCCCAATTTCTACAAGGTCACCAACTGGCCTTGTTTATATTCATCAGCTACATTTTCAGTGGCTGGGTCTGATGGTTGCTGTTATGTTGTATCTAGAT